TGGATTAGATTTTTATAAACTCATATTGTTATGGTTTAGATCTAAAATATCCCCCCAAAATCTCATGTACTTAGATGTGGGACTTTAGGAAGAAAATTGTATAATGGGATACGTCTTAGTTACTTTTCTCTCATTGTTGACACAAAACACTCAAAATTCAAGGAGGAAAGGTTTATTTAGCTCACAGTTTGTAAAGATTTCAGTCCATAATCAGCTGGCTCCAAGGCAGGGGAGAAACAGTTCATGGCATGCAGAAGGTAGCAAAAGCAACAATTGACCTTAACAGTGTCTTTCTGCCCCTTTTATCTTATCTAGACTACTTAGGGCAGGTAGCATTCACACTCTTAATCCTAGTGCCCTCGAGCCTAATGCTGCACCATGAATCAATTCCAGCATCATCACACTGTAGAGTCAGCCACTTCTGAAAAAGCCTCACCTATCACCACTTGAGGTTTTGGGGGTTATATAGACACAAGCCATACACGGTGCTACACTCTACTTATTAGTGGATTCATCCATTGATGATGTTTAGAGGTGGGGCCTGATCAGAAAAGATTTGTTGCTGGGAGTGCATCCTGGATGGTTGTATTCTTGTTCCCAGTTTTTCCCTTCTGCCTTTTCTCTCACTGCTTCTTGGCCATTTTATGAGTAGCTTTCCTCCACCAGGTCCTTTCACCATGCCATCTGAGACTTGGAGCCAGTCAGCCATAGACTGAATCCACTGAAGTCATGAGCCTTTAAGTTGTGATTGTTAATGTGTTGTTTCAGCAATGGGAAAGCTGAATAATACACACAGAAACATACACATAATTAAAGTGAAATTGAGACTCAGAAATGTGAAGGAACAAGAGCAGAATATAAAAACTCAATCATCTTGTCCTCTAGCCTTTCAAAGGTAACTTATAACAGTTGTAGTCTTGAAAACTATAACTAGCTCCTTGAAACTTACATAGCTCTCAGTGAGAGGGTGTAGACTTGCCAGCACAGTGTTGCTTCAGACTGCTGAATGAATTGAATGAAGGAAAGTCTGGGAGCCCATCCCTACCATGATGGAACATGCCTGCTGCCTATCAGCTGAGTCACCAATGGCTATGTGTTTCAGTCAACCCAACAAAAAAGAAAAACAATTTGGCTGTTCCCTATATTTCAGCTTGCTGCTGGGAATGCTGTCTATGTAAGGCCTTGCATTATGCTAATGTAAGATATTGCAGCATTGTCTGCTTTACATTCCAACTGGGATTGTTTTTGTTTGCCCGAACCGCACCTCATTAAAATCTGGAAGTACCTGGTTCACTTACTCGCTGCCACTCTGAGTTTCCTCAGGGGCCATTTCAAAGCTCTGGATGACTGTAAGCAAGTTAGTGATTTGATTTCAATGAACTGAGGTCAACATAACATCTGTTTTCCTCAACTTTACTGTCCCCTTTTTTCCTGCAGTGTTGCTTGTGCCTGTGATTCATTCTGTCATCCAAGAGCATGTTCAGTGACCTGGAGCCTCTTGTCTTTTGTCAGTATTCCTTCAAGTTGCTGTCTTGCCACAGCCTGGCCATAAAGCTATCACTAGTAAGGAGCTGTTGTAGTTAGTGGCTTACAAGGAAATAGATTTGATATAGGACATATAAATTGATGGAGTATCTTATAATATTCACCCAAAAAGTCAAATGCAGAAGAATGCAAGAACCAGGCATGGTGGTATACGCTTATAATCCCAGAATTTGGAAGGCTGAGGCAGGAGGATTGCTGCAAGTTCAAGGTCAGCCTGGGCTACGTAGTGAGTTCAAGGTTGGCCTGAACTACAAAGCAAGACCTTGTCTCAAAAAAATCAAAAAAAGAAGAAGAAGAGTGGAAGAGTTCTGTCCATGTGCTAGGGACCTGAAGAATCCAGCCAAGGACCTGGATCCAACAGCAATGTACTGCATGGGCCTAGAGCCCATGGCAATGTCTCATCCAAATCTGTATCAAGACTTGCACCAAGAAGACCCAAAAGCCAGTAATGCAAGCTAGAAAGTCTGGGCCTGTGGGGTGAAGGATCTGTGCCAGAAGGCTGAGGGATCTGCACTGGAGCCAGGAAGCAAGACTCAGGGCAAAGACTGACCAAGCTTCCCTGATGAGAGCAGCAGCCATCTTCAGCACCAGCAAGGATCCGAGCTCCTCCTCCAAAGAGAACAGCCATGTTTGTATCAGGAAAACAAGCAACAACAAAGCTTCTCTTGGGAAATCAGCAGCTTGCAATTTTCCCCTCCCACTCTCCTTTTATGCCATTCTGGCAACAATCCTCAGGTGGATCTTCCATGCCCAGAACCACGCTGACTCAGTTCTGCTGGGCGTTTCCACTAAAGTTGACTATGAATCAGTCTACCACAGGAGCCAATAAAAAAATTCCTCAAGTTCTGCTACTTTCAAAAGCGGCAATTTTCCTTTCCCTCCAAAGACTTGAGCGGTGATATTTGACAGAGTGAGCATAGGCATTTTATTATCAGTTTGGGGAAAAGGAGGATAAATGTTCACAGTTACTCACTTTTAGATTAATAAATGAAACAATAACTCTATTAGTTACGTATCTTCTAGAATAAATAATTTTCTAAGTAAATGCTGTAGGAATCATTTTGCCTATTTTTGAAATTTAGGGTATTTAAGAATTAGAAGAGACAAAAGAATACTTGAGGATATGCAGTTACTATGTGTTCCAAAGGTAATCAGCTTTCTGATGCAAGTTATTTTTGGCCAATATGACTGTTCACATGAATACTGATGAGCAATGGATGACACTGGACCAAACTAGGTTTCTACTGTCATGTGTTAGAAGTAGTTTCAATCCAAAGGATATATATATATCCTATATATATATATTGATACATATATATCCTATATATATATCCTATATATATATATCCTATATATATATATCCTATATATAGCCTATATATATATATATATCCTATATATAGCCTATATATATATATATATATATATATATATATATATATCTTGAAGGAGAAGGAAAATCAGAAAGAAGGAAAGTTAGGAAGAAAAAAAGTAAGTATCAGGTCTAGGAGTAAGTATGGGTGGAGGGAAAAGCCAATGGTCAGATGTTATAATGGAAAGAAGACCTGGAAATGGAGGGCCTTTGTTCAGGCCTCCTTCACTGTACTCACTGCTATATCCTGCCTCGCTCCTAGAAACTGTCCTCAGGGTCTTTTACTCTGTCAGGTCCTCTCTACACCAGACCTCCAATTCCACTGTTTTGTTCGAGCTGCCCTATGATGTCCATGAGTCTGAGCCATGAGACTGTCACAAAAGCCTTCCCTCTTTTCCCAGCTGCCATTATTGAATCACTGCAATCCTAGGGCTACACAGCACTTATCATCAGTTAGGCATATAGAAAGTAAATGAAATCACAGTGCTATCCTACTTGAAGCTTTTAAAGGGATGTTTACTGCCCTTCTTATGTCTTGTAAGGGGCAATACAATTTTTTTCCTACCTGCTTTTGCTCATCACTTTGCATTTTCATGCTTCACTCTCCCATTCATCTTGCCTGAGGCATCTCTGTCTTCCTCAGACCCACCACAGCCCTCTGCCGGCAGTGTGTGCAGCTGCTCATCACTTCACAGTCTTCCCTGGCCCTTCCCACTATCCTCTTCAGATCTCTGATCAAATACCAGCTTCTCAGTCATCTCTGACCAGCATAACATATAGGAGCTCCCAACACTGACATTTTATTCTCTATCAAACATTTCGAGTACCTTTCTACACCATTCGTCTCCATCTGCAATGTGACAGGTTCTGTGGGTTGGCCCTTGTGCCCACTTCCGCTCTACCCTCTTTCTGGGATGCTTTCCTCCCTATACTTTAGCCACTGATAACCTGAAAACTACACATCCCAGACTCCTTTATATTATTAGTGGATTCTAGATTGAAATTATGTTTCAAGGAACACTTTGAGAGAAGTATCTGGGAGGCCACCTTCTCACTGCTTTTGTTGACAAGAAAGGGTGTAGAGATGAAAATGTGGAGACACCATGAAAAAGGCTGGACTTCATGTTTCAGTATCTGCTCTATAGTTTCATGGATATCAAATGAAATTGAGGTGCACATCCACTTCCTGAGTGCAGTGAGGGTGAGGGGCACCTCTGCTTCCTGAATGCAGTCAGCAATGTGGGAGTGCTTTTAGACACAAAAGCCCGAGTGTCAGGCCTCTGCCTTTCTTTTCTTTTCGACCCATTTTGCATTGCATTTATGTATTAAGCCACTTCTGTTTAAAGTACCTAGAGTATTTTCCTTAACTGAGTGGGACAATGAACAATTAACATGTAGATTACATTTATTTTTTAATTTATTATTTTTGTGGACCAGACTCACTAAAATGTAAAGTCATGGAGACAGGGGCAGGTCTTGCTCAGCATGATAGTTGTTCAACATGAAATAATTCTTGGTGCAAAGCAAGGGCTAATCAAAACTGATTGAATACATGAATGAGGAAATTAATATAAATGGAGTAAGCTTAATTCATTCAGGAAAAAAGTCAAAGGTGTATTGACCACAACAATTTTTGGTACTGATCTTCTTTGTACATTTATTTTGGATGTATGTAGCATTAGGGAAGAGCACTATTCATTTTAAAACCAAGACTATGATACCCATGTTTTCATTTTTCAGGATACATGAATGTTAACAGTTTCTGTTGAATAGGTTTTATTTAGGTAGCAACGAATCCCAGTGAAAAAATATGAGAGCTGGATTAGAAGCTTTCATCCATAGCAATAGCTTTCAATAAAGTTATTGCTTTTCAAACAATCTGCATATTCATCCTAGTGAATAAAATCCTATTCTCCGAACTTGTGTTTTGCATCAGGAATCTGGAAATAGCATGCATATTTGGCAATGCTGCAAGCTTCTAAGTTGCTCTGGCTCAGCTCATATCCTTCCCTCATTTGCAGGTCTCTTTTCCACTCCTTTCCTGTCTCCTCTTTCTTTTAAAAATATGGATTAATATTACTCAACAGGCTAAATGATGCAGATTATAAATGCCATCATTTACAGAAATGAATCAGCATTTTTTACTAAGCAACGTTCGTCCAGGAGGAAGCTTCAGACAAATACTTCAGTCAAGTATTTTGAAATACTTGACTTTTTCAGATGGAAAGGGTGCCCTCCAACCAAAATTAGGTTGCTCTTCTCTCTCACTTGAAATACTTAATCAGGTCCCTAAGGCCTTCTTGTCTTCTTTGCTTTTTCTGGGTACTTAAAATTAATTCACTGCTCCATCCATGTATAGGTGCTAAGGAGGTGGAAGCTGCTACTGTTAATGGATTCACTATGAAGGTTTGTTATCTTTATTCATTTCTTTCCTTATATTTAAGTGACATAATTTTCAAATATCTACACAGATAGTATATATTCTAACTAGTTTTCTTTAACAAACATAGATAAAGAAAAACAAGTCATAGTAGGCTGTTCCAAAAATCCCATGAAAAGGAAGGACAGACACCCCCTACACACACACACACACACGCACGCACACCAAGGCAGTTTTGTAAGCTCTAAAGCAAAGAGAAATTTAGCCCAGTGAAAACTGATTTTCTCAATGGCAACAGCCAAATGTGGGTCATTGCAACAGAGGAGGGAGCTGGGATTCAAAGGATTGAAGTTACCTGCTTCCACACGCTTTCATGAGCTCACTTAGTGACCATGTGATAAGCAGCATTTAGTGTGCAAAGAGCTAAAGAGGCACACGTATGTGCATGTTGATGAGCATAGCCACTCACTATTCGCCTAGCACAGCCTGCTACTTCAAATCCTCTTTTATGTGGATAGAAGAGAGAACTTAAGAACATGTGTTTAAGATTTCTCTTTCTATTTATGTTGGAAGACATAGAGGGAGGAAACTGTGAATAGGGGATTGAAATAAACCAACAAACTAAAGGAGAGCAAAGGAGAAAGGAGTAGAACGTAAGGCAGTATATTTTGCAAACATTAATGGAATTTTCACCTTGTGTTCTTTGTTCAAAGGAAGCAAAAGTGGAGGACTGATTTGGCATTGTAGAAATGGAAATAGAAGAGAAGAGCTTTGCTGGTGTACTAACAGCACTATGAAGAGCGAATGCGTCAATAATATTCATTTCCTTTTATCTTCTTTCTTTCATTACTTCATTTAGTCCTTTCTACCTTTCCTTTCTTTTCCTTTCTCTTCACTTCTCTTCCCTTCCCTTTCTTCCTTCTTATTACTTGACCAAATCTAGAGAGAATATGGTCCATCCTTCCTTTTGCATATGAAAGAACAAATAATATTAAAAAATTAAATAACTTGTCAGTGGTACTTTTTCAATTCTTGTGAAAGCTGGAAATATGACTCAAGCTTCCTGGTGCTCATTCTAGTATTTCTTTTTTTGCTGTACCATCCGATGATATTATCAATAACAGTTGATATTTTTTATAGTACATAAATATCTTTGCGCTATTAAATGTAATAATATTTTGCTAAAATTTAGCATTGTGGGGAATTAACAACTGACATCAATATAATGTGTTTTAAAGAAACGTTTGAAAATCAGTATGAAATTGAAGTTAAAATTGTATTTTTTACAGTCAGGAGCTCAGAGGTAGTCCACCTGCAACCAGAATCAGAGAGCAATTTTCTATCATCTGAAGTAAAATATGTTCCATGTTTGATATTTATGAAGTGCAAAAGGGGGGGAATGACCTATTGCAACCTCTTAATTTTGGTGCTAGTGTTAATGAATGGATTCCAACAGCTGAAATTTTTAGTAGAATTGAAGGCTGTGGTAGACTTTAGACTTAAGGAATGAAGGCCGTGATTGTGAAAAGAGAGTGCATTGCACCATGCTCCTTTATGTGGGTAGGGAAAAACTTGCTAGGAAACATTGGCTTTCTGAAATCAAATTTAAGTGATTAAAGTCACATAGTAAAGGAATGATCTTGATAACTCAGACCAAACAATCTTTCCACTTAAAGTATACAAAAATTAGAACAAAATCTGTTGTGCCCTAGACAGGAATAGATCCAAGAATGAATGAATATCCAATTACTTATTCCATGTGCCATAACACTGTCATTACAAGAAAAAATTCACACTTTAAAAAATTCATAGAAATGGAATAACCTATTAAAAGGAAATGTAAGAAGGGATCATAAAAATCATGTAATTCCATCCTTTAACTTGGTAAGGAAGATTAAGCCTAGAGAGTTAAGTGCATCACACAGATGTTAATTGAATTTCATAAATTCTGAAAATAATCTTCAGAATTTCAGCTGGAACCCAATTTAACAGTTTTCACTACAAATATTAGATGTCAAAGATTAGGCAGAATAATTCTAAAAAGTTAGAGATACTTTGCAAGTAGTCTTCTTCAATCTGTTTGTACAAGTATTATCTATAGGTTTGAGTAATAAGCTTCATTATATTTCACACACACAGAGATATTGATGTAATTCACACCAAACATTTTTACAATGATTATTGATTAAATAACAGTTTTACTCATAGTTTTTTGAAAGTCCAAAAGGAGCAAAGTATTTCTAAGTCTGAATGACTATTATCATTTAGATGTATCTCGAATTTTTATGTTTAAATTAATCCTCATATTTATTTGAAAACACTGGGAAATAACATTAAATTATATGAATAAATTTTCACTGACAAGTCAGGATTTCATGTTAATATTTATCATGTAATTTTTGGACAAAAATACGATAAGGTGGGTTCTGGGTTATATCTTAATTTAAACCCATCTAGAAATTGTACTTATTATTATGTCAGCTCCTACTTTTCAAACATTCTTATCACCCAATTAATATTACTCTGTGTCTACATCCATTTTTAAAGAAAATAGTAAATGTGACAAGAAATTACATTCAGTAAAAATTCAAATGTCCTTAGACTTCAACTTGTAATATTTAATTTTTCAAATCAAACTTTCTCTGAGATGCATATCATTTTCTTGCCGGAATTCCCAGATATTCTAGAATATAAGCATGCTAGAATTAGCTGTCAGTATTGCATGAGGAGTTTTAGAATAACTTAGGAGGTAGTTTTCAAAAAGTTTAGTTTTGTTAAACTGCAGTCACATACTACGATTCCAGGCTTCCCCTGGGATCCATGAGATGAGGATTTAGCTTCTAGACCCTGGACGTTCTTAAGCTTTCAGATACAAGGACACCTGATGGACCAGGACTCTATTTGTTGAGATTTCACCTTGGAACCCACAGGACTTCAAAGCCTTTCATCAGAAGCCAAGTTTGGCAAGAGTGAGAAAGTTTTCAAAGAACTTTGATCACCTCAATTAACCAAGCCACAGGGATTCAAAATAAAGCAATTGACAGACTTAAATAACACAGGATGGTAGAATGCCATCATTATTATGGCTTTCATAAGTTTTTTTTTTTTTAAATTATAGTATGAGAGCGAAATGCTGCTTCCACCAAGCTACATGAAATCAAAAAGCCAATGGAACATAACATCTTTTTTTAAGACCTGCTAACAATTTCTTCTATAATTTTAACACTTCTAATTGTGTCAAAATGTTTTTATTATCTATATAGGCATTTTCATTGAAATGTAGAACCAAAGAGTGTTCCTGCTATGACAAAGAGGGAAAACTTTGACTCTAGGGTAACCCTTAAAAGTGATGGAATTCAAAACATGCTAAACCAAATTATAGCATCTAGGGATGAGAGATTAGGGAACTGGGCAGGTCTCTCTCATTTTCCTTTTACTTTTCTCCCTGGAAGCAGGATATGGAAGTATTATCTGGCTGTCATTAATATGGGACACAGAATTTCATTTTAGGTTGTTCATCCTGCACCTGAAGGAAAGGAATGCCACACAGAGACACAAAGATGAGTCTGAATAGACCTTACTATGTTTCCCCTAGTTTATCACCAACACTCCTTTGTCCTGCACACATACTTCCACATGATTGTTCATAAAGATATGTGGTTTTTTTCCGATTTGGGCATTCATCTTTATAAATACTCTGTCAGTCAAAACTTATATTGAATACTTTTAAACGTTTTTGTTAGTTTGCCTTCTATTGTAGGAGCCAGCTGTGGAAATGAAGCCAAAGATGTTTGCCCTCCTGGGTGTAGGGCTTTTGTTTGTCTGAATCTTCTATCCTATTTTACTCCCTTTTGGAATAGTAATGTTCAACCTGTCCCCATGTAACTTGGGATTATATGGCTTGTTTTGATTTTTACAGAGGTTCAGAAATAAGAGTTGTTTTGATTCTCAGAAACACCTTCAACTAGGGTTTTTGAAAGATGCTGGGACTGTTGAGACTTTGGAGAAGGGATTATTGTGTTTTTTGGTTGTATCCAAGATAATTGAATCTTGGTATGTGGAATTAAGATCTTTTTATTTAGGAACTAAGTATAGTTTAAAGAGATTTGTTTTGGTGTCAAGTTGACAAGGGATAGAATATAACAGTTAAACTTCATTGTATCAACTTGCTTGGCTTGAAAGCCATCCAGGAAATTGGTAGGGCCCACTTCTGGGTATATGTATGTAGGTTGTGGTGGTGTGACTTTGTATACTATATCTAGTCCCTTGATCCTTCCTCTTTGGCACTGTTCCCCTACTCTGCTCCCCAGAATACATAATGCTCCACCACATCTTTCCACCATAATATTTCTGCCATGGAGCCAGCTGACCATGGACTCAATGCACTGAAATTGTGAACCAAATTAAACTTCTATGTCTTTACATTGTGGTATTGATATTGTGTCCAGCAGCTAGAAAACTGTCTAATATAGATACCTATCATGTTACTCTTTATAAAAGTATATAAAATTTCAAACAACACAAGAATCATATAATGTTAAATCCAGAAGGATCATTAAAAGATATTTGCTCTGTAACTTTGAAGATAGAAAATTGAGGCCTGAAGTGGTTAAGTGACATATCTATCATGGACTTAAAACCTGGGCATCTATTTCAGTTTATACCATAGCAGTGATAAAGAGGATTTAATGTATCCCTCAGGTTTTTCAAACCTTATTAACTACAAATTTCATCTCTAATGGGATACTCTTGTTTCCTAAAATGATTATTTGGGAAAACTGTCAACTTCTGGCAAAATACTGATGAGATTAAAACATTTCATAGATTTTCTTGAGATAATGAAAATTCTTCACATTATATTAAATGCATGTTTTCTTAATAATTGTATTTATTGCAGAGAGCTTATGTTGATCTAAAATAAACACTATATTAATGACATAGTTTTGTTCTGTTGGCCACTCTAATATTTCTTTCTGCCATAGATAATATTTTGATGAAGTAACCATAATAGTTAATTTTCAACAGTTCTTCAAAAGGTGAGTAGCAAAATTTGCTTTTTAAAATTCTTAAATAAAATTGTTCATGTAAAAATGTGTCACTTTAATTAAAAAATTCAGAAATTGTATATTAAATAACAAGTAATATTCCATTTTAGTAAGAAGAGGATAAAGTGCAAACAAAGTAGACCCTAAATATGCTTACACTGGTGCTCTTCCATATTCAAGAGAAAAATTTTACACATCAGAAAATCCTTGCATTCTATGGGTAATGGATTCAATAAGGCTCACTGAATCATCTAAAATTCATAACACCTGATCAAATGGATTTTACAGCAGTGACAATGTGAGCTTGAATTGAATACACTGAGAAATTCATCATGGTCTAGAGTGTGAACAATTTGCAGTTTATAGTTTATGGAAGAAATGGCTTATAAATAGCTCACCACAATTCAATATGATGATTGCCCCCATGGAGCCCAAACACAGTGCTATATACCACAAGCTGAGAGGGGGTCCATCAACTGCCTTATGAAAGCAGAGAAAGGCCAAAGAAGTGAATTTTCAGCTTGATTTTGAAGAATGAATACAATATGCTAATGAAACTAAATTTCCATTTTCACAGGAAATGAATGAGGCCATTTTGACATAAGCCTCTTCTTAAATTTTATATTTGATTTTGACTATTAGAAAGAAAAAGGTAAATGTTCATGTTTTGAGCAATGTGATTGTGCTTTAAGAAAGTTTTACCTATAAATAGTAAAAATAAACCATTGAAATTTAAATGAAGAGCCAGGGGTGTAGCTCAGAGTCACAGCACTTGCCTGGCAAGTGTGAGATCTTCAGTGTGATCCCTGGTACAAAAAAAAAAAAAGAAAACAAATTTTAATGGAGTGATTTGCTACTTGAGTTTTTTCTTAAAATTAATCCCAAATTAGACATAATTTAAGTTGT